TATTGCATAACCCTAATCTACTTCAACCGATCATGAATACATCTTGGGTAAACTACAAGTTTAATATCTAAACTATTATTTTTGTTTCATATTATAGAATCTAAACTTTATTTTTTTCAAAATTATACCTAACGTTTAGTTTATGTTTCATTTTAATATTCTGTCGTTAAAAATTTAGTGGTGATATTGACGTATCATCGTAATGTAATGTCATGTCATCATTCAAGAAAAAATAACTATCACGTCAGTAGTTCTATTAATTTTTTAATGGTGGGATACCAAATTGAAACTTAAAATAAACATTAGATGTGGTTTTTTTTAAAATAAAGTTTAGAGACCAAAACAGAATAAAAAATAACAGTTTAGATATCAAACGTGTAGCTTACCCATATCTGATTCGAGATGTTAATATATATATATATATATATGTGTGTGTGTGTGTGTGTGTGTGTGTTTTATTTATATTTTATCTGTTTCAATATTTTAAATTTAGATAATTTAAAAATTAATTGTTATTTTTGTGTAATTTTATATATAAAATTTTTTATTCGATTTTCATAAATTATTAAAAGTTTTTAACGATATAACATCATTTTACGTTTATTTATTATATCAAATATTTTTTATTTATTAAATGTGAAAATAAAAATATATATTTATTTTTGAAATGTATATAATTAAATTAGAATTAAAATTATGTATATATAAATAAATTGAAGTTTAAATTTTATGTATATAATTAAATAAATTCGTTACACATTTAATGAAAATTTATGTGTAATTATGATTTTTACTAAATAAAAATCAATTTTACTTTTGTGGACATCTAATGAGAATTTCGTTATCCATTATATGCAGGGACAAACAAAGTATCTTATATCAGGGGATAAATTTATAAAATTTTAAAAGGATACAAATTTATAAAATTTTAGAGGGACAAAAACAGATTTTTCAATATAAAATATAAAGTAGAAAATTAAAATATATAAAAAAATTAAAACTTTTAGAGAGCGACCATCCCTACTTGCCCCTTCAGTCCATCCGTGATTATAAGAATTCACTTAGTGTTGTTGATAATAAACTTGGATTTAGATATAATCATCCCACTTTTCTTTTTTTCTTTTTGTATTTAAACAACTAAATAATTCATATACTTAACAAATTTAAATATTTAACATATAATTTAATTAATTTAAATTTAAATTATACTAATAACCGAAATATGTTGCGGATGTAACATATATTTACATGTTCGAATTTAGGTTATAAAAGCTACAAATTATTAATTTGTTGTGATCTTTAAAATTGTCACGGATCCGAATCTATCAAGTAGACTTAGTGAATTAGTGGAGTATTGTTTTCTTTAGAGATTATGGATTCGAGCAGTTACGTCTGTAGGATGTGTATTTATTATCGATAATTAAAAAAGATTGCGTCTGTAGGAAGCTAACTATTCTGCAACATATCGAAAAAATGTTGAAGAGAAATTGGGAAGTAGAACTGAAGCACATACCTAGAGAGGTCAATTGAGTTGCTGATTTCGTCGCCAAGCAGATGTGAAAGCACCAGGAAGATACCATTTTTTTGAAAGATTACCTTAAGGGTGCGTTTGGTTCACGGAATGTAAGATTATCAGTGAGAATAAAAGATTATCAGGGAATAGGATTACTAAGAATGTTGTATTTTGTGTTTGGTTGGTTTAGCAGGAATGTAAGATTACCGTGTTTGACTAAAGGAATAAAAGATTATTGGAATGTATATTTGACCAAATTGTCCTTATTATATATTTGTTTTTTTAACAAGTTGAAAAATATTTATATATTTTCTTTAAAAAAAATTAAATTCATAAAATTTATATTTTTTTTACAAAATTGAAAATATAAAATGGTTTAATGAAATGGTAAAATTTTATTTTAATCCCTAAATTTCATATAAAATTTTAATTAAAGACTTTTTTTTTGTAAATCTAAAATAGTTTAAGGATAAATTTGTAATTTAACTTTCGTAGAATTTTTATTATTCAATGCCAGAATAAGAATATTTTTTAAAGAAAATTTTTTTAAGGTCATTTTAGTCAAAAACGCCAGTAATCCAACAATACTTAAAGAAAGGGAGGTAATGACATTTCAGGTAATATACCCTAAAAAATCTACTATTGGTAATGTAAGATTACCGGGAATGACATTCACGGCCAACTAAACGGGTGAATGTGAGATTCTCATGGGAATGTGGATTTCATTCCCATGAAAATCTCACATTCCCCAACCAAACACACCCTAAGAAGCAGAGGATCTGCTAATAGTAGATAGAACAGGAAGCTAGGCGGCCTTTTACCTTTTTCAACTAAAAAAATTAAAAATAATTTTAAATAAATATTATCTTATAACCACCACATACTATAAAAAACTGTCACGAATCTAAAAATTGTTGCATGAAATTTAATACAATTTAATAAAACTGATTAGTGTTAGTTGTATGAAAATCATATAGAATTGAAGAGAATAATTTGTTGGAAAATAAAACAAAAATCTTTGGATTAGCTGTCTTGTTCAAGCTCTTAGGCTTTACCAACCAAAGTAGCATTATGTTAGGAAATGGAATATGATGAGGATAAACAAATTTGAATTATTATGTTTTTTTCTAAAAAGAATAATTGTTTTAGTAAATATAGAAATCAATAATTATCAATAAAGAGGCTGTCTTTTTGGATGGGACCATCTTTGTTCTTTCATTTCCACATTTAAGGGGGGAAATTGCTTAAAAAACATTTTAATCGTTTGAAGCTTTACTTTATTCTTTGGCGCATATAATCATTGATGATTAGACTTATGTTCATAAAGGTATAATTTTTCTTAATTATTAATATTGTAGATACGATTTATAAGTATAACTATTTAAATTTAAAATTTTTAGAAAAATAATACCTTATTTAACTACTGATATGTATAATGAATTCTTATATCTTTTACTTTTTAATATATTTTCAGAATTTCTTTTAATAAATTAATTATTGCGAGGGTGACACATATGCTATGGGTATGATGAAAAAGAAGAAAAAAAGCATGTAGTCTTTATAATAATGGATAGTACATTTGTGGTCATTAGTGGGTTAGTCGGTTGGTCTTGAATGATGTAATGGGATGGTAAATGCTTGAGTTTCACTTTTTCTTGAGTCAACAAAGATTTTCTTCTAATATATGGCCCTTCTTAATTATGTAGGTTGCAGTTGCTTAGAATTTGTATTATAAAAAGTTTTGTTTCAGATAAAATTTAAATTTAAACAATTATATTTATAGAATATATACATTATTAATAAATTAAGAAATTTTTTAATAAATATTACCTCATAATCGTAAATGTTTCATTTTCTTGAATTTTTCAATTTCTTTTCATTAATTTGTAACACTTTTCTTTGCCTTCCTTGAAGGCTCCTGAATTCAAGAAATGTGATAGTTATTTAAATCAAATATTACATGAATTATTGTGAATAATTTTTTAATTCATTCATTCTATTTTTTATTAAATCAATAATGTATATATTTTACAGAAGTAGTTATTTAAACAATAAATTTCTATAAAAAATAACACTCATTTTACTAATGAGATTGTTTGATGAGTTCATTTCATTTATTCTATTTTCTGAAAAATCATCCATTCTATTTATAATGTTTAAATTGGAATTTTATATATTGCTTAAAGAATCTAATACCCTATCTTATTAATGTAAAATAAACCATTAATTTTTTTGGATAAACTACACAAAATTATCCCCGACTATAGGATACTACTTTGTTGAGTCTTACGACTATTAAAAGTTATAAAATGGTCCCTCGACATTGCTTTGTTAAGTCCCCTAACAATCAAAAGTTATAAAATGGTCACCCAACTATTTGTATGTACCAAACTCGTCCTTTTTTGTTAAAAAATAATGGTTGTTTGAGATAAACATTAATCTACTGATTGAGATATGATAAAATTAAATTTTAATGTCAGCTAACACTGTTGTTACTTTTAAGCACTGGTTCGACGACATAATAAAGGAACAAAGCAACACCCTATAATCGGGGATCTTTTGTAACTTTTAATAATAAGGAGACTCAACAAAGCAATACTATGTTGTCAATGAATCATTTTGTAATTTTTAATAGTCGATAGACTCAATAAATGAACACCCTATAATTGGGGACATTTATATACTTTACACTATTTTTTTCATTTAATCAAAAATTTTATTTTCAACCTTTAATTATAATACAATTCAATATTTAAAAAACTCGGTATTAAAAACTCAACATTTAATTTCTTTTAATCATTAAATAACACCTAAACCTTGTTTTTCTTTGGTAAATGAAGAAACAAACTAAACTAATAACCTAATTTTACTGCTCCAATACACCTAAACCTTGTTTTTAACTTCTTATTAAATCTTTAAATGATTAAAACTTAAAATAATTAGAATTTTAATAATTCAAGTTGTTCCTTCTTTTTATCTTTGTCCTTAGTTCATGATTACATCCAAACTAGAGAACGTGAACATGATTTTCAAACCCAAATTTAATTTAATTTCCATGTTCTCGTCTTCCCATTATTTTCCAATGTATTTAGCACAATATTTTTCAACCATCAGATCAGTATCTTATTCCACGTGTCAGAATCACAATGCGCATGGCAGTCTATCCGATAAGATTATGATTCGATCTTTCCAGGGGAAGCCGTGAAATGAAACAAAAAAGTCGGTCGAACGCCGCACATTCCGTTGCTCTTATCCAATATGAACACGTGGCAATTATTCATCCATCTGTCAATCGCTGTCGTAACAGGGATGACTGGTTTCTCGGTTCAACCCGTTGCCGAAAAACTACATAAATTCTTTAAATAAATATATCACAGGCTGTCAATCAATATCCTTTGAAAATAATACACCATCTTTCAACCGGTAACAGACTAATCCCGGTCACTGTGTACCAAGCACTTCAAATATAAGAGCTAGTGGAGAAGTGGACACCAGCCAGACCAAAAACAACATTCCGATTATCACTTCACTGCTCCGACGATAAAGATGCCGATCAGAAACATTGCCGTTGGCCGGCCCGAAGAGGCTACTCACCCCGATGCTCTCAAGGCAGCTTTGGCTGAGTTCATCTCAACCTTGATCTTCGTTTTCGCTGGATCGGGCTCCGGTATGGCCTTTAACAAGCTGACTGACAACGGAGCAACCACTCCCGCCGGTCTCATTGCCGCCTCTCTAGCTCACGGTTTCGCCCTCTTCGTTGCCGTCTCCGTTGGCGCCAACATCTCAGGTGGACACGTCAACCCGGCTGTCACCTTCGGTGCTTTCGTTGGCGGGAACATCACTCTCTTGCGTGGCATCCTTTACTGGATCGCCCAACTTCTCGGCTCCACCGTCGCTTGCCTCTTACTTAAGTTCGCCACCGGCGACCTGGTAACATTACCATTCCCCCCTCCCCCGCCCCAAATCTCGTTAGAAAATCAGTTATTTCCGTTATTTGACTGTTATTTGGGTTTTGTTATGTTGCTTCGCAGGGTGTACCAACTTTCGGGTTGTCGTCCGGTGTGGGAGTGTCCAACGCTTTGGTATTCGAGATCGTGATGACATTCGGATTAGTGTACACAGTTTACGCCACGGCCGTCGATCCTAAAAGGGGAAGCTTGGGAACAATCGCCCCATTGGCAATCGGTCTGATCGTTGGAGCCAACATTTTGGCCGGTGGAGCCTTCGACGGAGCCTCAATGAACCCAGCAGTTTCATTCGGACCCGCCTTGGTTAGCTGGTCCTGGGCCAACCATTGGGTCTACTGGGTGGGACCCCTTGTTGGGGGTGGACTCGCCGGACTCGTCTACGAGTTCGCCTTCATCAGCAACACCCACGAGCAGCTCCCCACCACCGATTATTAAACCTAGCGGCGGTTTAATTCATTGTCTGTCATTTTGAAAAACGGATTTTCCCATTTTGTTTAGTTTCCTTTCCCTTGTATTTTGCGTTTTAATTTGTGGCCGTTGATCTTGTTTACTTTTCGTTCCTATCCTCTACCATGATCATCATGCATGGCAGACGTTGTTTACAATTGCATGCCCTGAGACGAGTGTAACTTTTTTAAATTATTGTAAATGTGAATTTGTGTCATGTTTGCATTTCCTGTTTCCTTTCTCGTTGATTTGTTTTTATCATTATTACAGCACTTAAATGGTTTTATATAGACTTCAAAATGGTAAATGACCTATTAGGATCTTTTAAAAAAAAGGTTAAAGTGTTCGAAATTTGATGTTTGTGAATATAGATAATTAAGAAAGATTAAGGATATATAATATCATGTAATGAATTTATATTATTAAAAATATAAAATATCATAGATAATACTATCGGAAAAAAGAATTTATATGAATTCTGAGAAATTATTTTCTTAACTAGAATATAATGAATAATATAAGAAAAAAGATTACTAGACCACCTTATCTTTAAAAAGATGTTAGAAAAATACACCTTTCTCATATTATATATAGTCTCAATGTTAACCTGGACAGAGTATGAATCCAAAGAAACATTATTTCTTCCCAGAAGCATCATATTGTTTGGTCGTCTTCTCCCGCATATTATTCATTTCACCTTAATTTAAAAATTAATTTCTTTAATATCTTATACGAATCATTTTTTCTTCGAAACATAATCCCATCAATTTACCCTTAAAAATCAATATGATATATAATGTTTATCTTAAAAATAATACAATATTTTTAATAAATAATTATTATTAGAATAATTGTATATTAAAATTAAAAAGTAAATTTAAAAAATCAATTGTTTAAATAACCTAGCTCTCACTCTCACGTGGAAATTGTATATTTTGTTTGGAAAAGCTATACGTTGTAATTATTAGAAAAGGAGTGTGGAATTATTGAGAGTGGTTGCGGTTGTGGATGCATCTTGTTCACATCGATTCCAATTCAAAATTTTTCAAATAAATATTTATTTTGTTTCAAATTCAAAAAAAAATTGATCAATTATTTATTTTTTAATTAAATTAATTTTAAAATTTTATTTATATTCATTTCGAATAAAAATAATATTATTAATTTACATGTTTACTTTTAAAAGTATTTTAAGATAAATTGTTGAATGGTTGATATTTTAGCAAAAGGATTAAATTTCCAAATTTATGTATTCGAGTTAAAATACATAAATAACTTTACTATTTTATTATTACTTATAATTTATTGATTTTTGAAATATTTTTAATCTAACAGATATCATTTGACTCGGACACAAATTTAATATATATTTTCTTGGTATAGATATAAATATAAATTATTAATTCATATATTGATTTTGTAACAGGTGTATTTTGTAAAGACCGGGATAAATGTGCAGGTGAGCATTATTTGTTTCGCTGTCAATGATGGATATAAAGCTTGAAAAGGGCACGTGAAGATTCAGAACCAGCTGGCATGCACCGGCCATGCCCAAATTATTTGCTCCATGGGACCCTGCTTTTCTACTCGTCTTTTTCAGGTCTATTCGGTTTCAAATGGGACAAAAGTTGCACCCATTGTCCCACATCGCATCTTCCTTAAAGTTTCATCATCCATTATTAATAATATGATTATTCTCAATTAAAATTTAAAATAATTATAAGATAATATTTTTTATATTTTTTAATTATTAATATATATATATATACTTTATTAATATAACTATTCGAATACAATACTTCAAAAACAATAATTTTACTCCCAAATCACCCAAAAGACTTTTACATGTGCTATAATAGGTTAAAAACTTCTTGACATAACTATGGGATGTGATGTGTAATTATAAATATTAGTAAATAATTTTATATAGAGAAAAAGTTTTAACGAAAATGTAAATAAGGTTTTGTTTATTTTTAATGTTGATTAGTGAGGTTAAGATCCAATATGTGTAGTTGTTTGTTCAATTTAATTTAAATTTATGTTAATATATATTTTTTGACGCGTCTTATATGTATAACGTTATTTTTTTTATCAAAATAAAAATTAAGTAATAGATAGGTGATTAAATAGATAATTTTTTTATTATTATTAGATTAAACTACCTATTTATTCACTCAAATATTATGTAGTTTTTATTTTGGTCACCTAACTATTATTTAAAAAAACTATAACTAGTGTTACAATTTGATTCTATTATGATAATTCAATGTTAAAAATTAATAGTGATGCTGACATATCACCATAAGATAATGTCACGTTAATATATTAAAATAGAATCAAAATGTAACGTTAGATATAATTTTAAATAAATAATAGTTAAATAATCAATATATAAACTAAATAATAGATAGAGGACCAAATAAATAATTTACTCATATTATTATAATGAAAAAGGATTACGAAAAAACAAAAGCCTTGACATTGCAAAATTTTGAAGCCTAGAGGGGATATTGGTATTTCGAGGAGAATGATACAGTTTTGATACTTCTTATGACAGCGTGCAAACGGGATAGTAAGACGTGGCTTTAAAACGGCAACGTATGGGAAGGGACGTTAATGTCCTTGGTAGATCTCGTCAAAGTGGATTCCGGGGCCTACTAATAGAGTGCCGGCTGTTCCAAATTAAATATAATAAACTATATATTTATTATCTAAATTATTATTTTTTATTTTATTTGGTATTCAACGTTAAAAATTAATAAAATTGTTAGTGTAATATTTTTTCCCTCAATGATGACATAACGTAATATTGTGGTGACATGTCAATGTCATTGTTAAATTTTTAACAACCGAGTAATAAATGAAACACAAAATAAATATTAAGTATAACTTTAAAAAATAAAATTTAGATATCAAAACAGAATAAAAATAATAATTTAAATGTTAAACATGTAATTGACCTAATAAAATATCACACATATTCTACTAATCCAAAGTTAAATTGGAACTTCTGCTGTGCGGCGCCTAAAAAACGGAGTGACCGGTTAAACAAGTAACCGGTTAAAATTCAGATCGGTTATGTTATATCATTTAACCGGAAATATTATCAAGTATAATAACATCTTAGGTAGCGCTTATATAATGTAATAGGTAGCTCTTATATAATAAAATAGGCATTTAACCGGAAATATTAAGTACAATAACATATTAGGTAGCGCTTATATAATGTAATAGGTAGCGCTTATATAATAAAATAGGCATTTAACCGAAAATATTATCAAGTACAATAACATATTAGGTAGCGCTTATATATGTAATAGGTAGCGCTTATATTGACCTATTTTATAAGTAAACTGGTATATTTATACCGGTAACATTGCAAATTTACCTATTACATTATAATTATCGGTTTCGATATTTTTGGATAGATACAATTTTAAATGTATCGACACTTTATGCGTGCACCTCGTTGGGCATTCATTCTGGAAACAAGTATCGACATAAACTTAAAGAGTGTCGATACATTATTTAGACCTATTTTTTTATAAAACCAGTATATTTCTACCGGGTACATTGTAAATTTACCTATCACATTGTAATTATCGGTTTCGATGTTTTTGAGATCGATAGTTTTAATAAATGTATCGACACTTTATGCGTGCACCCGTTTGACATTCATTATGGACAAAATGTATCGACATAAATTTAATAAGTGTCGATACTTTATGATGACCTATTTTCTCATAAAGCCGGTATATTTATACTGGTTACATTGTAAATTTACATATTACATTATAATTATCGGTTTCGATGTTTTTTGGATCAATACTTTTTAAAACATGTATCGACATTTTATGAGTGCAACCCTTTTGGAATTCATTTTGGACAAAAAGTATCGACACAAATATAAAACGTGTAGATACATTATGTTCACCTATTTTAACATAAAATCGATATATTTATTCCGGTTACATTGTAAGTTTACCAATTACATTATAATTATCGGTTTCGATTTTATTGGGATCGATACTTTTAATAATTGTATCGACACTTTATGTGTGCACCTCGTTTGGGCATTCATTCTGGACAATAAGTATCGACACAAATTACACAAGTGTCGATACATTATGTTGACCTGTTTTCTAATTAATCGGTATATTTATACCGGTTACATTGTTAATTTACCTATTAAATTATAATTATTAGTTTCGATGTTTTTTGTCGATACTTTTAGAAAATGTATCGACACATATTTAGGTAGTTATTGTACACACCTAAATATGTCACGCGAATTTAATGTTGTACCCACACTTCAACTACCAATACCACATCATATTGAAAGCACGACTCCCGACTGAAACATGTTGAATGAATGAACCTTTACTTACATCTCCATAAACTCCGGGACCACTGAACTTGCATAACAAAATTTTTGCCATGGATCATACTGATGCAGAAAATGTTAAGCCAACCGAGGAATGTCATGAAGTACATAATGTTGATGAATCTGACAGATTGGTTGGTCAGCTCTTCTCTTCACGTGATCAAGCTTGGTACTTTTACAAGGGATTCGAATGGGAAGATGGGTTTAGTGCACGTAAGGGAACAACACGGCTTGACGTGGAAGAGAATATTAAGACATAAGAATTTTGTTGTTCCAAATATTCGAGTATCAAAAGACAATACTGTTGATCGTCAATGTGCTCATACACATTTTCAAGAACATGATGCAAGGCTAGAGTCGTAGTTACAGTAACAAATGCAAACAATCACTGGGTTATAAGTAAGTCTTATCAGAAATATAATCATGCATTGTGCACACCTGCTATGACATCATTTATGTGTTCTAATAGAGCTGTAAGTAAGGCTAATATCGATGAGGCAACAACATTGGAAGAGGTCGGTGTTGGCACGTCACAAGTAATGAATTATTTAACGCAACAGGCAGGAGGCTATCATAATGTTGGATTTACACATAAAGACATCTACAATGCACTTCAAAGAGGTAAAGAAAAGGAAATCGTCGATGGGGATTTGAATGCGCTTATTGATTACTTTGATTATA